TTTTAGTCCAAGGACAGTTGAAATTCGACGCTGCGATTGTATCAACACCTTTTTGGGCTAGCACAAGATTTGTGAGATATACAGGTAAGTAAGACCCATCGATGTTTCTTAACTGTTCTCTGCAGGACACCTCACTGGGAAGACCTATTCCACCAGATCAGCCTTTAAAAGTTTTGTCCACGAAATTGGTACTTACGAGTGGATGAGTGATACAAAATGGCACATAAGGAGTACTGATGTACATATGAAGACCCGTTTTTAATTCTCCAGCATATCCATATTGTACCCTGTAGACATATAATATTATGGCATAAGCTTTGCGATATAAAAAATCTATCAGTTTTTTAAAATAGCTTCCTTCATATTGAATACACTCCACCATATCTGTACCCCAAAGCCAGACTATGCTAAGTCTAAAAAGCTAATTTTGCAGGAAAGAAGTTTAAAGGATTTTTCACTGAACACTTGATTGTAAAATTTTTATAATTTCCGTAATCTTTTAGAAAATTCCGTAAAATTATTTGTTTTGGTAGAAAGTGTTAATTAGGTAAAGTTAAGATGGGCTTAGGTTAACATTTTTGTTATTAATGGACTTAACATACTTGAGCAGTAATTAAAAAGATTATATTTGGACTTGACATGATGCTACGTCCATTAAAATATGTGCTCACCGGTCTTGACATATTTAGTAAAACTAAATGAATTACAAATCAAGTATTTTTTGCAAAAAAATCATATATTTTGTAAATTATGCACAAATAGAGGTTAAAAACAAGGTATTCTTATCTCCAAATATTTATAAATATCATTAAATTCAACTTAAAAACGTACTCTATAAACTGTATAAAAATGTATACATTATATAGTAAGTGACATATAAATCCGAACACCCAGCTTAAATGGTTTTATTTTAATAAAAGTTGGTGAATGTATTTATCTTAGTGTAAATAACAAGTGAAAAAATTTTCAGCCTCATCAGTTGGACATTCCGGTTTTTATACTGCTTTTTTTTAATTCACTAACGCTCTAAAAATGAATATTTCAGCCGCAGTAAAGAATCAACGTTGGCGGATTTTGGTTCTTGACAGCCTTCGGTTACGATGCCTAGAGTACGGAGACCTGTACGATTTCGTCAACTTAGTGAGTTTGATAGTGGCCGTATAGTGGGACTTCGGGAAGCTGGACTTTCTTTTCGGGCAATTGCACTTAGAGTGCAAAGAAGTGTAGACACTGTGGTTAGGTGTTGTCAGGCATGGCTTCGAGAACGCCGTACGCAAAGAGCAAGGGGCACTGGACGCCGCCGTAGAACAACAGACCGTGAAGATCGCCGCCTAAGATTATTGGCCTTAAGGGACCGTTTCTCCACTACCAGGCCCATTGCAAATGAATGGTTTGCAGAACACGGAAGACCTATTGGCATGCGAAGTGTTTACCGACGAATGAGAAGTTTTGGCTTGTTTTCATACCCGCCACACTGGGTCCTCCCTTTAACTCGAGAACACCGACGTAATCGCCTTTAGTGATGCAGACAACGGTCACTCTGGGATCAGGAATGGAACAGTATTGACTTTAGTGACGAGTCTCGATGGTCTAGGTTCCAGATCACCTTTAATCTTCATCAGAGGTAACATGAACGCGCAGCGTTATATCCACGAAGTTCTAGAACCCCATCTTTTACCCTATCTTGACACCCTGGCAGATCCAGCTTTCCAACAAGATAATGCCCGACCACATGTTGCAAGAGTCACAATAGACTTCTTTCAACATAATGATGTCACATTGTTACCATGGCCACCAAGATCTCCCGACTTATTCCCAATTGAGCACGTGTGGGATATGATGGGTAGGAGATTGCTCAATTTGCAACGTCCTCCTCAGACTCTAGAAGCATTTCGAGAGGAGTTGGTGGTTGCCTGGCATGAGATACCTCAGGAGGACATTGAAAACCTGATCAGAAACATGCCTAGGCGCGTTGGAGAATGCGTAGCACATCAGTGTGCATCCACGTATTATTAAAGGTCAAAGGGCTTTAAAGCAGTGCAATCATTTTGAAATTTTTATCATTTACTTATTATGCTTCATTAAGTACTTATACAAAATTTGATTGAAATAAAACCATTTAAACTGGGTGTTCGGATTTATATGTCACTTAGTATACAATAAAAATGTACATACTTTAAAAATTTGAAAAGTGAATACAAAACTAATTATTTATTACTCATTCTCACAACTTGTATGATCTACACTTTTTAAAGTCCTAACAAGAGTGACCTTCAATCCAAACAGCCAAACCTTTCTTTTCACTGTTTTGATCACTTATGAATAATCTGAATTTATCTTCATTAATAGTAGGGTACCGATTCTTAGACCAAACCTTTTTCAATGGTTTTCTTTTGTCAAATTTCATAGTTAATTGATTGGAGAATTTCTCACGTACCATATCTGTCATACCCAGCGACTCAGTAATGTATTGAGACCTTTCTTCTATCTGAAAAATTTCCTCATAAAATGTTGTTGATCCCTCGTAGACAGACTTGTTTCTGCCTATGGTCTGCCCATCGGCAACCAGCGTGCCATCTTATCATGTTTATACGTACTAGCTACATATGAATGTTTACCTTCCTATCAAGATACCTTCTTTACCGGCTTTTATCTGTTCCTTTTGATGTTCTGTCGAACGTGCCTTCTTCAGGGCCACTTGTTCAACCTTCTTTTAGGGGGTTGCGTGCGCAAACGGCCCAGCGCCATTTTCTGTCCGCTGTGATTTTTTTTTTCGTTAACTTCCATATTTTGGGATACTAATGCCCCAAGCACCAGTTTATGGAGTGGTACCCTTTTATTTTGTACCTTACGTTTAGTTGTGTTGGTTTGGGTACTACCACCCGTCCAGTCTTTATGGGATTTTAACCTCCATCGGACTATGTCCATTAATGCTTGTTGTGAAGAAGTTTGTTCAATGTCTGATTCCTTTTAATGGAAAGCCATTGTACAGAACCACCATTCACACTCCTCCAGCTTTGTTTTGTAGCTGCCTTGTAACTGTTTCGCAGCCGGTTTTGTTGGAAGCCATTTCTTCCCCTTTATAAATACCTTGATGTGAACAGATAAAATATCATTTTAATTGGGTATTTTATAGATATTCATATATAAATTGTTGCTGGCTGAAATTCTTAGTGTGTGTTCTTGATTTTGTTTGGCATTTTACATATTCAAATATATGGTAGTAACTACATGTCACTGCCTTTTGGGCTATTTACATTACATTAATCATGATTTTGAATTTTGAGCTGCCATAACTTATTTTAGAGCAACAGTTAACTTTCTGAGGGTATATCACTTTGGTAAATTTTATCTTTCCTTGCCCTTGCAGAAAGAAAAGCAGTTTTCTTGTAAAAGAGAATGTACATGCATTTTTCTTCAAGTTTTTATTTTTAAATGTGTAGTTCTGTCTCGGACATAGAGTAGATTTTGAAACAGTATTTTTCTCTCTCGGGTTTTTTTATACCATACATTTTGAGAACAATGCAAGCAGCCCCTACCTTGCGGCGTTCCTAACGTTCCTACTCACTACTGGCCACTGATTTTTGACCTGAGTTTTTGAGAGCTGAGAACATCACAGCTACGCCTAGAGCTGTAACTGGAAGAAGACCATTGTCCAGATAAGTTTAGGTACCGGCGTTGAAATATTTGTAAGACCTAAATTTTTAAAGCCTTCGTTCGTGTACCATGGTAAATGTTTTGCAGAGTTAGTTATTATGGTCTATTAATTTTATTGTCAGGTAGTTTTTAATAACATCTTTTCTTTTAACTTGCATTCCAGTGGCGGAGCATATGTGCTGCTTGTTTTGGCAAAATATTGTGATTCTTTTCTTTTAGTTATCTTATTTTATTTGGCTCTCTGTATACAGTCAATTAGGTTTCATCATTAGTATTAGATTTTTGTTCCTTTGTGTGGTGGTCAAGCAAAATAAGTTCCGACTAAACACTCGGGGATTTGTGGCTGAGTCACTGGCGCTCTTAGCACCCCCCCTACTCTCCGATTTATTGAGCTAGCGCCTAAATTTGCACGCCACTTGTCAGCTGTTTTGCATTTAGCGACCCTTAGATTTCGTTTACAGTAATTTACTAAGCCATTAATTAATTTGATTTAAAAAACAGGAAAGAATAATCACACCACCAGTTCGTCTTATTTATAAAAGCGTGGTATGATATCCAATTAGAATGACCAGACACAACAAAAAAAAAAAACAGCCTTTGTATTCTCTAGGTAGTAATGGTCATAATATATGAGTTTTATTGGCAGGATAAGTAATTACAAGTTTTTATCAAATTCCTAATTAAGAGCAGAATTTGGATCTCAATAATGTATAGCACGATCCGGTCTTCCATTCAACCGAGCCCATAAAGCTGATGACCAAACGACATCTACTGGTATTTAGGCTCTACACCACTGCCCTGAGCAGGTATGTAGCAAGAATTGGAAAGTCTATTGTTCCTGGAAATTATTACAAAGCGCAGTGTTGGTTATCAGTAAAGCTGTGAATTGGGTTGATCGTACAGGAAAGAAGGTCGTTGATATGTAAGAGGAATAGTGTCGGACCCAATACCGATCCCTGGGGAACATCCGCGTTGACGTCGTGGCACGAAGAGGAGAACAAGTCAATTGCAATCTTGAGGCTAGAGAGAAAGTCAGCCATCCAACTGCAAAGCTTCGCTGGGAGGCCACAGCTGATCGAATGCCTTCGTGATATCAAGAGCATCGACATGAGTCTCACCATAAGAGCTTACTCCACAATTGAAGGGTTTTTTGCAAAAACAACCAATGTCATTTTTCAGAAATTTGGTGCTGTTCGCACCATCGTATGTAAAAATAACGTTGTCAGATCCTGACCAACTATTACAGCAAGAACTGCCATAGTCAACTGCATAATGCAACTGTAAAATCGTCCAGTTTGGCAAAAACAACCAATGTCCTCGCGAATCTTATCAAAAACAACCAATGTCAACAAAGTCGCGACACACATATCATCATTCAGTCAAGTGCACATGTGTTTATTGAGTAACAAGGTTAGTTTACCATTCATTCCCGCTTAAATTTTGTGGTGCAAAAACTAATCAAGGATAAAAAAAGACATATAACGTGACAGAATGTCATCGAACATTCAGAGAGATCCTGATTCTACTGTAGAATGGCCTGCAAAAGGAACAAGGAAAACAAGAAAATGTGAGGTTATAAAGCAGTTGAATGTAGCTGGAGCAGCCCATACAAATCATAAGGGTATTCATGTACCTGCTAGGTCTATAGGACCGAACTGGGGGTAAGTTTCGATATTCAAATTTTTTAAATGTTTAGTTTCATGTAAACTTGTTACATGGTTAGCAAAGAATCCGTGAGGTGGCAAATTTATCGAAAAAAAGTCAAAGCAAAATCACTTTTTCCATTTCACTGATTCTCATTTTCTGTTGCAAAAGAATGCGATTTCCCTATTTGAAGCTGTGGTGTTTTTTTTTTAAGATGCAAACGCTATAAGTGTTTTGATAAGATTGGTTTTAGAGAACGTCAAATCATTCTAGATAAGTTTAACTCACTTTCTTCCAAAGATGTACAAGATAGTTGGCTGGCGGGTCTCATTTCATTCGACAACGTAAAGCAAAGAAGACCGAGACGGACTCATAACGACGAGGATGATGACGATGGGCCTTCATTTGATCATTCTGTTGCTTTTTACTACAAGGTTAGAACAGCTGGACAAGAAAAGGATGTATGTCACACTGCATTTTTGAGTATACATGGGATTTCAAGAGGTCGGCTTAGAAGAATTCAAGGCTCTATTAAGGTTTCCGGTTTACCTCCTTATGATGCACGTGGAAGACATAATAATAGACCATCTAAAACACCCAATGAAATATTAAATTTAGTAAGACTGCATATCAAGTCTTTTAGAGGAAGATAATCACATTATTCACGGCGAGATAATCCGGAAAAAATATATTTGCCTGAAGAATTGAGTGTAAGCAAAATGCATAAATTATTTTCGTACGAAGTTAGAGTTAATGTCTCCTATCTTGTTTATTACCAAGTTTTTAAGAATGAATTCAATATTTCGTTTGGTATTCCTAGAACAGACACTTGCGCTAAGTGTGATGAACTAACATTAAAAATAAACTCTGCCGTTGTTAATGACATAAAACAACAACTTATTAATGAAAAAGATCTCCATTTGAGAAAAGCAGAAAAGTTCAGGCAAATAAAGAACCATTAGAAAGTAGAGGCGAAGGCCGGTAAATGCATGGCAATATCTTTTGATTTCCAACAAAATCTACCTTTACCTCACATTAAAACTAGTGACGCCTTTTACAGAAGTCAGCTTTGGTATTATGTCTTTGTTATCCATGACCTAGCAGACGATTCTGCTGCTATGTACGTCTATACAGAGGATGTGGCAAGAAAAGGCGCCAATGATGTCACATCAATGATTACACTACTTGAACAATAAGGATCTAACACACAGTCATTTAGTCCTTTTTAGCGACGGGTGCTCCGGGCAAAACAAAAACCACATTATGGTTTATTTTCAGTATATTCTAGTACATGCATTGAGGCTATTTAAGAAAGTAACTCATGTATTTTCTATACGAGGTCATTCTTATCTACCCAATGATCAAGATTTCGCTCTTATCGAAAAAAAGAAAAGACGAAATAGCCCGGAAGTTCCCGAAGATTGGGATGCTCTAATACAGGAAGCAAGTGTAAATCCATCTCCTTTTGTTGTAGTTAATATGAGTCAAAATATGTTCTTCAATATCCAAAACGCATGCTCTTCGTATTTTCTTAAAGCTCCCCGACCAAAGCTAGGCCTTCGGGAAGCACGCATTATAGAAATATCTTCCGACTCTGCATATGTTAGAACTAAAAATACTTATTCAGGAGCATGGACATACTGTGATGTTCGAAATAAAAAAGTGTTGCCAAACAACTTAGAGCTAAAAGCTTTGTATGAAAAATCGGTACCAGTAAACAGTATTAAAATACAACATATAACAGATCTGTCAGCCTTTCTAAAGAAACCAGCTAGTGTTGCATTTTATCAAAAATTTAATGTCACCGAATCAGCCACTAATATCGATCTCGATGAGGATGATAATAGTGACGGATGTGATTAATATTGAGCAAAATATGTATATTTATCTTCTGAAGAGCTTTTAAATTTATTTGTAAATTTAAATAAAGTGTCAGTTGCAATTTTTGTACTTTTTATTTTTAATTTTTAACAAAAACAGCCAATGTCAGACATTTCAACCTAATTTACAAAAAAACGGAGTTTATATAACATTCAAATATATCTCCAAATCAGTAAAATACAGGTATATTTACTTACATGGCACAAAAAAAGTATAACTTTAGCCATATCGGCTTAAAGAGGTTTTTTTAATACCCTGGAAATATTGAATATCTGACATTGGCTGTTTTTGAAAAGAACTCTTCAAATTGCTCTCGATTCATGCACCTGTCCATCACCTTACTCATAACAGACAGCAGAGCTATAGGCATGTAGTTGTAAGAGCCGGTCTTTTTTGGGATGGGTTCGACATGAGCAAATTTCCATTTAACTTCTCGTAAGATAATTGAAAGAGATGCGAAAGAACTGGAGCAAGCTCCGCTTTACACTTCTTCCACACACAGGAATCAAGACGCTTTGTTGATGTGGAGCGACAAGAGCACCCATCTTACGATCTTATGCCTGCATGCTATTTTACGCATAGTATAGGGAACCCTTAGAATCGACGGCACTTGGGCGTTAGGAGTTAGCAGCGAAGATCGTTTTAGGGGGTTAAACGTCTCATATAATAATAATAATAATATTTATTTACTCTAAAATACAGGGAACATGAAACGAGTAAATAAATATAATATATCCATAGGAGGACAACGCCTGTGCATGGATCATATGTATGTTGAATTGCAAAATATAATAAAATAGAGAGAAAAATGAAATTATTGGTAAGAATGGTAGAGCATTTATTGTGTAATATTGGAGATTATTTTATTAATTTGATTTCTCCCAATCGTGTTAATAAATTTTTTTAATTTTTTTTTGAAGCCTAATGTATTGCGTAATTGTTTTAAATTATTTGGTAAATGTTCGTACAATTTTGGAGCTATATACAGGTGACATCGTTTCATTAGGGATTTGTTTGGTTTAGGAACATTTTTTGCGCGTAATTTATATCTGGTTTTATGATTATGTTTAATTATGTCGTGTTCACTAATAGTTTTGTGACAATGAGTGATGATATGTAAGAAGTAAAGTTGTTTAGTATCATATACTTGTGCATCATTATAGTCATTAGTTGGGTATAATTTTGATTTGCCTAACATTGATTTTAAAATTCTTCTTTGAAGTACATCTAAATCGTTAAAGTATGTCGTGCATGCAGCACCCCACACTACTATACCATATGTTATGTGTGGCTCGACTAAAGTTTGATATATTATTCGTAGATAATATTCAGTAAATATACCGGTTAGAAATTTTATTTTATATGCTATGAATCTAATTTTCTTTAGTATGTGAGAAATATGTACATCCCATCTCAAGTGGGGATCTAGATAAATTCCTAAATATTTTGTATCATTAACTCTATTGATTTTTATATTTTTATCATTTACCTTAAACCGAAGGTGGTTATATTTTGGTAGATGATTAGATAGTGATGAAAATGGTAAAAAAATGAGTTTTAGTAAAGTTAATTGTTAATTTTCGGTTATTAAACCACTGATTAATTTTGCAAAAGTCATTTTGGATAATATCTTTTAAGTCGTTCCAATCCTTACCTTTATAGAGTATAGCAGTATCGTCTGCAAAACTGACTATTTTACCAGTACTGTTAATTTTGAATATATCGTTTAAATAAATATTGAAATAGGTCGATAGTTAGTGACGTCCGTATTATCATTAGATTTATAGATAGGTATGATGATTGCTGTCTTGAAAGCTGATGGAAATACTCCAGATTGGAAGGATTTGTTAATGATATAAGTAAGTGGTTCTGTTATTTGTTTGGCCAGTATCTTTAGATGTTCAGCTCTAATTTCGTCAACTCCAGGGCTTTTTTTATTTTTTAGAGTCATAATGGCATTGAAAACATCCTGATAGTCTACTTCAGATAATACAAATGAATTATTCAGTCTTGTTTCATGCAGATGAATATCAGCATTTTGTTTGATATTATTTGCTAAGTTTCCTCCTATATTTGTGAAAAATTCTATGAACTCATCACATATTTGCTGAATATTGTCTGTTTTCTGCCCTGTTTTTGTTTTTATTTCATTAATATTGTTTTTTGAATAGGATGACTTATTGAATATATCATTGACAGTGGACCATAGGCGTCTAGAGTCATGTGAATTATTATTCAATTGTTTTATATAGTAATTTTTTTTATGTTTTTCTCAAAAGTTCTATAAATTTGTTTTTATACTGATTATAATGGTCTATATTTTCTTTCGTGGGTAAATATTTCATGATTTTATACAGTTTTTCTTTTTCGTTTGCATATTTTATTAGTCCTTTGGTCATCCAATCATTTCTGCTTTTTTCCTTGACTTATTTTAACCTTATTAGTACTAACTTCAATTACTTTTTGAATTTTGTGTATTAATAAATTTGTAGCTTCGTCTAAAGAATTTGTTAAAAAAATTTCGTCCCACGATTCCGTTTGTGCGTTAAATATTAATTTTGAGTTGTCAGTGAAATATTTGTATTCAAGGTTTCTTTCATTTTTTGCCCTTGGGCAGTTCTGGTTTTTATTTTGTGAAGATATCAATAATACAGTGGAATAATGATCTGTAATATCGGTTTCATAGATAATAGGCATGTAAGAAAAAATATTGGAAATATGCTATATAAAGCAGTGATCAATGCAGGTTTTACTGGTGGGTCGTGTTACTTTATTTATGTATGATAAAAAACCATTACTTGATAAAATGTTTAAATATTCTTTCACCATAGAATTTTCCTCTAAAATGTTTATATTGATGTCGCCTATAAATATTTGATTATGAAGGTGATTGTTTTCATTGTTTTTTAATAGTTCATCTATGTCTCTTATAAATGTACACAAGTAATTTTGACTCCACGATTTTCAATTTGCATTGTTAGATTGATACCTTTTAGTTCATTGTTGATTGTAAAAAGGTATGGTTATAAGGTAGATTGTTTCGTACATACACCATCACTCCATCGTTTTGATTATGGTTACCAAAATTATACAATGTATCGTACCCTTCTAAATGAAACAGAGTCACATCGCCCACTTGCCATGTTTCGGATAGAATGATTATATCTATATCACTTTGTATTCTTTTCAAAATTAATTTAAAGTAGTCAAAGTTATGTTTTATACTTCTGATGTTCATATGATAAATTCTAACAGATATTTCAGGATTTTCTAAAAAAGAATCTAGTTCGCTAGTATCATGAGCAGTAGTAGTACTAATACGTTGAATTTGGAAGTTATTTACATAGTCATGTGTCATAAATGATGCAATATTCTAAAATTTTGGCTAAAATTTCTTCTTTCTTAAAAAGGATTTTCAAGTTGTACTGCTGTTGATAATATAGAAAAGTTGGACATTTTTTATCTAATGGTGAGTGGTTGGTACTATAATTTTTGTTATATCTATAGTTTGAAAATTTGCAATTACAACATACAACCGGTTCATATATCGTGTACATCCTCTTTGCTGCAGTTGGTATAGGTCTTGTTATTGCGGCATTTTTTTCTCGGTGTGATTGGAGCGAAGACACTTCTTGCATTGCGTTATTTCGTTATTATCATACACTGGTAAACATTGCCATCCAAGAAGAATTTTTCCATTGTTATCTTCAAATATTGCCCTGAATAATTTGCCAGAAATGTCTGCAAATAATGTGTAACATTTTTTCGATGGGAGATACTTTACATATTTGATTTTGATGTCATCTTTTTCAATAAAATGATTTTCATTTCATTTCATTTTGATTCTATGTCTTCTTCATGTGGTTCCTCCGTGCATCTATAATTGACAATTTTGATCTTCGGTCTAAACATTGTAGGTTCTGTGATTTTGTATTCATCTCCGAATTTCTTTTTGAATGCAGTTTTGAGTGTGTTGTGGTGTTCCTCAGCCAGTTTAATTATAATTCCTCCATTTTTAGAATTTCGTATATTTTCTATTTGTATTTTCAAATCCGCAAGGCTAATTTTTTTGTTAAGGTCTTTTCTCGTTTGTTCAGATGTTTGGATACCATTTGGTGTGACAATTATGTTCTTCATTGGGTCTTTCTTGATTGTTGGAGTATCTCGCTTTAGTACTTGGGCATATGATTTCTCTTTAATTTTCTCAATTTCAGTCAATCTTTGATTTATTTTATTTATCACTCTTTCAACGGTACCTTTTTCGTGTGTGGCTGATGTCGCTAAATTGTACTGTTCTTGTAGTCTTCCATTTTCATTGCTCAACTGTAGTATTAGTTTATCCTTTTCTTTAATATCTGTTTTAAGTGTTTATTTTCTTCTAGAATCTTCTGAGTGTCCAAGTTTCTATCAATGTAAACTTCCATTGTATCTGATTTTTCCGTTGAGATCTGGTTTTTTAACTTTTTTCTTCGGCATCATGCATATATATCAACTCAGCAGCAGCAACACTCAGTATAGCGTGAAGCCACAGTTGAAATATTATTTTTATTGGTCCTGAAATTGACACAGTTTGACAGTTTCCTTTGGTAGTGAATTTAAAATGGTTGAAAATGGTGCAGATTGTGCTGTTCGTCTCACCAATATTTCCAGGGATGTGTCACTGTCTTATATACGTTTGCCGCTCAGCGATATTAATTAAAATGATCTAGTTTTTTGAAACTTCTCGTGATAAAGGTGAGTTCTTTAACTAGTATTTTTAGTAGACTTATGGTTGGTAGATAAGGGTGTTCAGGGTACAAACAAGGGTTACAGACGTCATGCCCAACAACTTTACCAATAAAACGATCCTAGTTGTGCTGGACTACATCCTCTACAAATTCATGGTTGAGCTCATCCAGGACGCATATGTGTTAGAGCACGTGATCGAAAGAAATATATAAGACATGTCCGGATATGAAAGGAAGCAATTACGGAAGTTTTGGGTATCGAAACTTCGGGCGAGTACGGAAATTTATTGCAAGTTCCCGGGAGTGTCGTAGACTGCAGCACTACCGCCAACACCCGTTTGTTCAAATCAGAACCAGCGTAATAACGTTTTGCTGCAATAACCGTATTGTCACCGGCATACGCCACTGCTTATAAAGTCCAAAAGTTACGGGCGATGCTGTAAACAGCACTTTGGATCAAGTAGCGAACGTCTGCGATAATAAACACAGTATATTTTGAACATTATGTACGTCGCGATAACTATCAGGGCACCACAGCTACCGAAAACACCATAGAATGTAACTCGTCGTATCATGCACGGTCACGAAGGAGAAAATTGTAAGCATGTATCAATAGAATGCTGCAAATGTAGATATGGAAATGAAAGATATAAAAAAATTATAATATTAACCACTCACCTACCGACAAAAACTGTCCAACGTACAAATATTATCAGGAACAACAAAACTTAAGGATACTTTTTTAAAATTCAAGTTCATCTTTTACTACTCCTATCTCTAAAGAAGACCTAAAAATGTCAGTAAATAAATACATTAATGATTTCCAAATTCCAAGTATTGCAACAAATATAGCACAAAACGTCGATGAACTTAATTTATGTACACAAAATTCTGATGCAAAATTTCGAATTTTTAATATGAACATAAGGAGTATAAAACACAACATTGATTACTTAAAAATACTACTCGACCAAATATGGTACAATTTTGATCTAATAGTTTTAACTGAAACGTGGCAAGTGGTTGATATTTCTTGCTTCAATCAGCAGGGATATGACACGCTGTATAACTTTGGCACTTATAACCAAAACGATGGGGTGATAGTTTTTGTAAGAAATGAACTGCAATATAATCATGATACATTCACTTTCACCGATGGAATCAAAATTTTAAACATAATGATCCAAATTAACCATAACAAAATTGAGGTATCTGCAATTTATCGTCCGCCATGTTCAGATCCCCACGAGTTTTTAAAGAATATCGAATTTTTTTTTCAAAATCAAAATAAAGTTCATTTAAAGCAACATATTTTCTTGGGAGATGTCAATATAAATATTTTGAACGATGATCCCATCACAAATGAATACTTGAATATCCTATCAAGTAACGGATTTCTGTCCTATATAAACCTACCTACAAGGTCCATCAGTGGCACATGTATAGATCACTGCTTTGTGAAAGACCTATCCAACAAAATTACTTGTATACCAATAATCCTAGAAAGCGATATTACTGACCACTTCTCCACTATTTTACTGATATCTTCAAATGAAAAACATTCTAACATCCCTACCGTTAGTAACAACCAGGAAAATTACAAATTTTTTGTCGACAATTCAAAACTAATATCAAATGTCAAACAAGAATCCTGGGAACAATTATACTCTATAAATAATATAGACAAAGCAACGGGACTGTTCATAGAGAAAATAAGAAACTAATAGATATTAGTACCAATAAAGTAATAATTAGTCACAAAGAGAAAAGCAGAAATGCCTGGATTACCAAAGGATTAATAACATCGGCAATAGAAAAAGAAAGACTATATAATGTAATGAAACTAACGCCAACTACAGAGAATACCGACTGCTACAACCAATATAAAAATAAATTTATAGAGCTTGTAAGGCAAACCAAACGAAAACATTACCTAAATAAAATGAATAATAACTTAAATGATCCTAAGCGGCTTTGGACAACTATTGATGAGATTACTGGGAAAACAAATGTTAAAGAGTGTGTCACTGAGTTAAATACAACATCGGGAACAGTATTAAAAAATACTCAACAGATATGCGATGAATTTGTACAATTCTTTACTGACATAGGCGAAAATTTAGCAAGTAATATACAAGCAAATGTACAAAATACTCAGCCACCAAAAAGAACTTTGAACTCATTTATTTTGGATAAAGTCGAGCAATGTGAAGTATACACCACTGTTGTGTCCTTAAAAAATCGGAAAAGTCCTGGGTTCGATGGTATTAAAAGCGAGCATTTGAAAATTATAGCCGACGACATAACAGAACCACTCACTTACCTAATCAACAAATGCTTTGAATCTGGCATATATCCCTCAATTTTAAAAAAGGTAATATAATACCGATACATAAATCAGGAACAAAAACAGATGTTAACAACTATAGACCAATATCAATAATATCCAGTGTAGCAAAGGTTTTTGAAAAAGTTATATCTACTAGAATGGTTCGATACCTCACAAAATTCAAAATTTTAAGTGAAAATCAATATGGATTTACAGAAGGGAAGGCTACATCGGACGCAATAACTAAAATTGTAAATCAAATACATCAAAAGATTGATAACAGACTCCCTTCAATCTGCATTTTTGTTGATTTAAAGAAAGCTTTCGACACAGTTAATCACAAATTATTATTAGAAGCATTGGAGAGAATTGGTTTCAGAGGAAACGCGTACTCACTGATCGAAAGTTATTTGTCAAATCGCCCACAATCTGTGCAGATATCAGGATCATTTAGTAAAGAAATGTATATTAAGTGTGGTGTCCCACAAGGAACTGTCTTAGGTCCGCTGTTATTCAATATATATTTAAATGATATTTTCCAAATTAATTGTGTTGGCAAAATAACTAGTTTTGCAGATGATACTGCAATATTATATGAAGGCACTGACCGGTCTGATCTGAAAAATCTAATTGAAAATGATTTTATCAAAATTATTCGGTGGTTTAACAGTAGAAAATTAAGCATTAACTACTCTAAAACACATTTTTTACCATTTGGATCTTATGCTAGACATCTGCCAAATTACACAAATTTCTCCTTCAATATTAATGATCAAAAAATGCAAATTAATAGAGTGCCCAACATAAAATACCTTGGAGTGGTCTTGGATCCTCACTTACGATGGGACATCCATGTCAATTATATTTTAAAGAAAGTTAGATTTGTATCCTACAAAATTAAATACCTTGGGAATATATTGACAGAAAAATATCTTCGAACATTATACCATGCACTGATTGAGCCTGATCTCACATATGGTATATTAGCATGGGGAGCTGCATGTTCCTCACATATCTATAATTTAGATGGTTTTCAAAAAAGTATTCTAAAAATGATATTTAAAAAACCGAAACTTTATCCCACTGAAAAATTATACGCAGATGTTCGAATGTATGATATAAGACAGCTTTATTTCTTACACAGTATCACTCACTACCATAAATTTGTAAACACCGACCAAAAAATTAAACATAATCATTATACCAGGTACAAAATTCGTGGCACAGTAGTTCCTCAACCGCATAAATCTATAATGCAGCGATCATATCTCTATTTAGCGCCTAAATTTTATGAAATTATACCTAAAGACTTAAAAGATTTACGTTTCGGAAATTGTTTCAAAAGAAATTTAAAAAAGCGGCTACATTCTATATCTAGGACTGAAATTCATAAACTCATAAATACGAACATCAACTAAATACATGATCTACTGTAGCTAATTTTTGTCCTTTTTTGTCATTTGCATTCTACAGTTTCAACTTAAATTTATTGGTCCACGTACAGGCGATGCCTTCTATCGGGCCTGTTTTGATTTTATATTTATTTACTCATATTGTTTGTTATCTTTGTACATTGAGTGAATAAATATTATTATTATTATTATTATTATTAAATCTCCGATAGTAATACAAACTACTGTAACATTAGAAACTTATCCTGTGGTTGGCAGGTCGATAATCTCCCAAGCCTGTCTGGTTAATTAAAGGAAGGCCATCAGTCGTTTTTTTCCAAGTTGGTATTATTTTAACAGATGGTATCACTTCCATACTCAACATATTGACAGATGTACGTATCGTGTCAAACTGCCGATGTGAGCAATGGGTCGTTTTAATCTTGAACAAAGGTGGGAAATATTGAAAAACTATTTTCAAAGTGGGGGCTGTATTGCAGAAGCTTTGCGAAAATCGAGAAGACTATTTCGCCGGAATGAAGCTCAGTCCGCGACTGATATACGAGAATTCGTGAATAAGGTTCGAGAAAGTGGTCTGCTTGTGGATAACAGAAGGTATGAGCATGTTCGACCCGTATGTACAGCTGTTGCCCAGAGAGTACGTGAAGACGTAAGAATGTCAACTCGTCACGGAGCACAACAAGTGGGCAGCAGTCGCACTTCTGTGCGGAGAATATTGCATAATGACCTGGGATTATTTGCTTACAAGGTGCAACTTGTGCAAGAGTTGAAACAAAATGACCATCCGCTTCGATATCGTTTTTTTGTGTGGGCTCTAAGTCAATTGGAAACAGACGTCAATTTGGTTGGCCAAATCATCTTTTCGGACGAAGCTCATTTCCATCTGGGAGGTTACGTGAACAAGCAGAACTGTAGGATTTCTAAAAATCCGCATGTCATAGAAAAATCAATGCATCCAAAACAAGAAACTGTGCTAAGTGACATATAAATCCGAACACCCAGTTTAAATGGTTTTATTTTAATAAAAGCTGGTGAATGTATTTATCTTACTGTAAATAACAAGTGAAAAAATTTTCAGCCTCATCAGTTGGACATTCCGGTTTTTATACTGCTTTTTTTTAATTCACTAACGCTCTAAAAATGAATATTTCAGCCGCAGTAAAGAATCAACGTTGGCGGATTTTGGTTCTTGACATCCTTTACGATCGGCTACGATGCCTAGAGTACGGAGACCTGTACAATTTCGTCAACTTAGTGAGTTTGATAGGGACCGTATAGTGGGACTTCGGGAAGCTGGACTTTCTTTTCGGGCAATTGCAGTTAGAGTGCAAAGAAGTGTAGACACTGTGGTTAGGTGTTGTCAGGCATGGCTTCGAGAAGGCCGTACGCAAAGAGCAAGGGGCACTGGACGCAGCCGTAGAACAACAGACCGTGAAGGTCGCCGCCTAAGATTATTGGCCTTAAGGGAACGT